CCCCCATGTCTCTGGACCCTGCACTCCCGGCCAGGCACTTCCCCTCCTGGGCTCCGGCGGCTGCTGTGCTCCCTGAACTCCTGGGCCCTGTAAGCGCCGAGCTGCCCGAGCGCTACCGGCTTCAGGCAGCCCCCGTGCCTCCGGACCCTGCGCCCCCGGAGCCCGGGAGGGGAAGTGCCCGACCGGGGGCGCAGGGTCCAGAGGCATGGGGGCTGCCCAAAGCCGGTAGCGCTCGGCTCTTACAGAGCCCAGGAGTCAGGGAGCACAGCAGCCCCCGGCGCCCGCTCTAAGGTAAGCCAGGGAGTATTTTTCCCGGACATGTTCGGCTTTTTGGAAATTCCCCCCGGACAGGGGTTTGATTACCAAAAAACCGGACATGTCCAGGAAAAACCGGACATATGGTAACCTTAGTTATTCTTAAAATTCAAAAGTTTCTATAAGCTAAGAGGAAATGCATTTTTATTTGCTTATATATGGCACGAATAAATACAGATTTACAGATCCTAGTGTAACCCATACACCTTCTGTGTGTCGTGTTTGTGTCCCATCTAGTGGCACCGAGACCACTTAGAGAAAGAGATAAAATGAGTCTGCTCTACAGCCTTAACTAACAGCCAGTTGGCTTTTAGCTCATACGGTAAAGGCTCATGCACTAAGCTCCAGAGGTTGCCCTCTGCCGACTGGGCTCTGTCAGCGTTAGACTAGCATTCAAATGTATCATCTTATACAATAGGGATAAATCATGCATGCAAACTGTGCATCAAAGTCGTGAAATAGGCTACAAACGAAATAAAAATAAGGTATTCAAACATTTACTAAAGGAAGGAGGGGCGCACCGAAGATGCTCTGTGTGTGGGGTGTCATTTGGTCTAGGGCCAGCCCTGACTGTAGATGAGCAAATGGCTGATCGATATCACATGTATGCTTCTATGCACTGACTATAATCAACATTTCTGTCTTCCTTCATTTTGCTCACAAATAAACAACGGTGGGAACTCCCAAGAAGTGATGACAGTGCTGAAAGGGAAGTTGGCTCTTGCAAGAATAGGCTGGCGAGATGCTGTCAGCCTCTCTCACCGAGCGAGGGTGGAAGGAACGACATGAGAAGGCTGGGGATCAACAGGAACCTGTGCTGTTGTGTTAGTTTGCTTAATGGGAAGTTCTGCCTCATAAGACGTGAGGCCTTTATCCATTCTGTTTCTTCCAGTCTTCTTTAGGAGACTGGTGTCCTAGAGCAGATATTTAAGTCTGCGTCAAGACATCTTTTAACCCTCTAAAGAGATAATAATAACCCCTATTTCCCCATTTACCAATGGGGAAACTGGGGCACAAGGAAGTGAAGGGTCTTGCCCCACCTCAAACAGTGTTAGTGCCAGACTCATCCCAGTTCATCCTCTTGGAGGGATAGCTCAGTGGTTTGAGCATTGGCCTGCTAAACAGAGGATTGTGAGTTCAATCCTTGAGGGGGCCATTTAGGGATCTGGGGCAAAAATGTGTTTGGGGAATTGGCCCTGCTTTGAGCAGGGGGTTGGACTAGATGACCTTGTGAGGTCCCTTCCAACCCTGATATCCTATGATAACTTTCAGCCCCACCCGCTCCCCTTGACCCCGCCCTCATGAGCTCCTCCCCCTTCAGCCAATCCCACTGCTGAGCTCGACCCCTTCAGCCCTCTGTCGCTCCTCAGCCCCCGTCCCCAAGTGCCTGCTATTTCCCAGCCCCGCTCTCCCTCTATTGTCCTGCACGGTCCCCCGGCCTCCACCCTCCTCCGGTGGGTTTACAGCAGCCCCCGCGCCCCGGGGTACTGAAATACGGCAGGGCCGGTTCGGATGCGGAACGGATGTGCTGGGGGTCGTGGGGCGCGCCGCATCCTTTCCTGTAGGGAACTACTTCCGGTAGGGGCAGAGGCTCGGCCAAGCGGGTGTCTGAATCTCTTCCGCCCTCACGAGTGGGAGGTGGCCGGGGATTGGTCCTGCGAGGGCACGTGGGGTCCAGCTGCCCCGCCCTGTTTGTGTCCCACCATCCGGGGAATGGGCCAAGCGGACTGGGCTGCCTTCCTGCTGTTGTTACTGCTGCGGAGCCGGCCGGTCGGGACGGGGCTGAGGGGCCGCAGCCGGGCCAGGCTCCCTGTTCCCAGGGCGGGGCTGGAGCGTCCCGCAGGGGGCCTCGCCTACTGGGAACTGAGAGAGCAACTCCCCCCCCCCCCGCGCGGGCAGGGCCCCCCCCCATCCCCGAGGAGCTTGGATTGTGACCCCCTCCCCCTAGCGTGTTAGGAACTGGGGTCACCCCCCCCCCCGGGAGCAGGGGTCGTGCTTGCCCCTCCCCCCCACCCCCGAGCTGCCCTGGGAGCTGGGACCGTAGCACATTGTGACACCCTCATCCCCCCCCCCCCACACACACCCCCCCTGGGCTCCTGTTCCCCCTCCCTCCACAGAGAGGTGGGATTGTGACTCCCCCACCTCCTCCCTGGAGACCCCCTCAGGAGTGAGGCCCGTGACTCCCTCACTCCTAAGGTGGGAGCTGGGAATCACCCTTACAGTTATGACCCTTCCCAACCCTTTGGCTCCCTAGTAGCTGCTAGCACCAGCTAGTGTGGAAGATCCCTGGGATTGTGTGGATCCTCCATTTTGTCCCCAACAGGAGGTACTGGTGCTGCTGAGAGTAGGGCTTGCTTCCCCCCCCCCCTCCCCTCCCCACACCCTCCCAAAGCTGGTTAGTTGACAGGGTCATTCCCAGGCCTGTACCAACCCCAGAGAAACATGGAGTTTGCAGAGCTAATCAAGACACCGCGAGCAGATAATGTGGTTCTGCACCGTCCTTTTTATCCAGCAGTGGAAGGGACACTATGCTTGACTGGCCACCATCTCATCCTCTCATCTCGGCGCCAGGACAATTCTGAGGAGCTGTGGCTGCTGCACTCAAACATAGACTCAATTGAAAAAAGGTATTTTTCCCCTTCTTTGCCCTATCTAACTCCTCCTCTTCGTAAGGGGTGGGAAGGAGCACTGTGAAGAATTGGGTGTCAGGAATCCAAGGGTTTAGTTCTAGGTCTGGAGGAGAGTGCAGTCCAATGATTAAAATAGAGGAGTGAGCATCAGGATAGCTGGATTCTAGTCCTGTTTGGGACATTGGTTGAGTTACTTCACTTCTGTCTTTACAGGTTTCCCTCTTCTGTAAAATGAGGGTGATAATTGCCTACCTTCCTGGGATGACTGACATTTGCATGAATGGAAGGGGCTATAGTTTAATAATAATATTTAGCTTTTTGTACAATGCTTTCCCTCTGTGGATCTCAAAGCACTTTAGAAAGGCTGTAAGTATCAGGTGAAATTATTTGCCCAAGATGCACAGCAAAGCCAATGGCAGAGCCAGGAATATAACCCATATCTTTGGAGACCCTGTGCAGCACTCTCTGCATGAGGCCACACTGCCATACATGGACCAGTGCAATGGTACTATACCTACAGCTTCCTCATCATGTGGCTTGATAAAGTTGAGGAATGTTGGCTACTGTACTTCAGTATAGACTCCATCACTGAACTGTTCCATCCCATTCCACCTGATTCATTTAGAGATTACCTCTTAAATATCCTTGTTCCCTGCTGGAGAGGGAAGAAAAACAGGATTATAACATATGCCCTTCTGTAGGGCTTGGTAAATAGCCCCAGGCATGCATTGTTTTAGTTCACATGTAGTGATGACTGTAAGACAAACCAATGTGGCATTAGAGCAGGCTTACAAAATTCCATCCTCCCACCTTGCTGATGTGACTTTCTTTGATGAGCAAGTAAAATACGGTATTTTGTATTATTGTGATAAGGATTGGGCTGGTAGTTTTTCATCATCATTTTGTGGCATGTGCTCCAAAGCTGCTGGTTTTGTTTTTTTTTGTGGTGGCTTTTTGCCATTCTTGAGCAACTCTCTTTAAGCATACGGCCTATTGGGCTCATTGTGGAGAAGAGCCATCTTTAATGACACTGGTGATGTCCGTATGCTTCAGGAAATTCAGCGAGAGGAAAAACAGCCCCACTAGTGTATTAACTGTTACTACAGGAAGTTATGAAATAGCAGTGCAGGAGGGCATACAGATATACATGTATTGGATCATCACTGAAACCGGACAGCTGTTCCATCCATTTATCCCAATGCTTACAGTTCTTCAGTGCTGGAGAAACAGTCATGACTACTGGGTGAAGAAAATATTTTTTTTTTTAGCTGAAATAGTGGCTTAGCAGAAATCATTCTGAAACCAAATTACAGGCCCACTGAATTATGTCTTGTTTGGTTACAATTCAGGTTTTATATAGTGATGTGGTGTTGGCCAAAAAACTATTCCTCATCCCACACAGACAGCTGTGCTGTATCCAGGCAATTACAGTTATACTGCCTGTGCTGTTTACAAGGGCCTGTGTTTCATCAAGGACCGCTTTGTGCTGTCAACAAATTGTACCCACCGTGAACTGTGAGGATGAAACATAAAGGAATGCCAAAACAAAACTGACCTGGTTTGAATATCGGTCTGACTGTATTATAGTTCATATTTCTGTACCACCTTTCTTCTAAAAATCAATCATCTTTGTAAACATAGCTTGGGACGCATTCCCTAAGCAATCTCTGAGGAAGATACTCACTATATGCCCATTTTACAGATGGGGAAACCGAGGAATAGAAGTGAAGTGAGGTGGTCAAAGCCACACCCAGCTGGGTAGAACTAGTAGTAGAACCCCCAGAGTTGTGATTCCCAGTCTCTCACTAAGCCATGCTACCAAATCTACCCAGACCACTTATGTTGAGTGCCACATGTATAACTCTCTCTACTCTGATCTGGTACAACCCCAGTTCAGTCTAAACATGGCCTCAACTGAGCTCCTTGTCTGTCTTGCTAAAGGTTTCAGAGTAGCAGCCGTGTTAGTCTGTATCCGCAAAAAGAAGAACAGGAGGACTTGTGGCACCTTAGAGACTAACAAATTTATTAAGTCATAAGCTTTAGTC